AGACAGCTCTGGGATCAAATCCTGACTGAGACCCTCATTAGCTGTATGTCCTTGGGCAGGTCCCTGACCACGCCAGGCTTTAGTTTCCTCATCTGTGTAATAGGGATGATAGAACTTTGTCCCCAGTGTTCTCGGGAGTCTCAAGTGAAATGACCAGGGGAAGGGGGATGGAGTGACTTTATTTAGTAGTGACTGTGACTAAGCATGTGCCAAGTGCTTCATGCGGTGACATAGCCAGCATTTGCAGATTCTCCCCAAAGTGTCTGTTACATATGTGTCTGCATGCATAAGTAATTGTTGAATGAATAAATGAATGGATGTAGTGCAGAGATTAAAAGGATGGGCAGTTTACCCAATAAATAAAGATGGCAGGCCTCAGGGTGCTTGACCCTTTGAGCATTACAAGTGTGGAGGTTCTTTATGAAGAATCTTAAACTTGAAAAATCCTGAAGTATCTGGGATTGAAGGCATCTTTGAGAGCCTTCTCACTTTGATGGTGAGTAGAATCAAGGCCTCGTGATGGAAAGTGATGAGGTCAAGGGCACAGGATCGAGGTTGGAATTAAGGCGCCCTCCCCACCACAATGTTCCCACCCCAAACTCTCCACGGGTGTCCTTACCAAAATGCACAGGAGGGAATAGGGGCAGAGTCCAGACTTGAGGTTCAAACACTGGGCTCTGAAAGAGAAGAAAAAAATGAATAATGCTCTGAGGGACCCTTTGGACATCAGCTCGATGCCTGGGAACTCCCCACGGCAGAGGATGGACAAGGACGAACCTCATGAAAGGTGAAGAGATGGAAGAAAGAAAAGGCACTGTAATTAATAACCATCAGCAACGGATTGTGTTGGGTGAGCACTGAGACAACTATTGATCAGAGAAGTAAACACAAATTGCTGCCAAGTGTCCTTCCGGCCCTGGGTCAATATGCTTCCACATACAAAGTGGCCAGGAGCTGTTGCCGATACTGGGAATGTCTTAATCAGGGTGGATGAGCGGGCTCATGCCTCTCGGAGATGTAACTGCATTGTGAGCTACTCTAGTGTAGATGCTTCATCCATCCATCCATCCATCCATCCATCCATCCATCCATCCATCCAACATATTCTAAATGCTTACTTACTACATGTCAAGCTTCTTGGAGGTACTGGGCCAGAGTGATGAAGAAGAAGCAATCCTTGCCCTGATGGGGCTCACAGAACAAACAAATAAGATTGGACAGTTAAAACCTATATAATTTTACTAACCAATGTCACCCCAATATATTTAATAACAAACATAAACAAACAAAACAGATAATTTCAGATAGTGATGAGTGCTGTGAAGAAAGTCACCTGAGGAAGGCAGATGGAGAATGGGTGGAGGAGGCTGGTGTCTTGAGGAACCTGCCCAACTGAAGGACACCTCTCTGAGGAGGTGACATCCGTGCTAAGCTTCTAATGAATAGAAGGAGCCAGCCCTGTGGACGTAGGGGGAAGAGTGGTCCAGGTATGGAGCACAGCACGTGCAAAGGCCCTGAGATGGAAATGAGTTGGGATGTCGAGGAACAGAAAGGACACTAGAAGAGGATGGCAGGGGATGAGGTCGGACAGGTGAGCAGGGCCAAGGTCACGGGGCAACTTTGTCCAGCGTAAGGAGCTGGATTTGTTCTAAGCGATGAGGCCGTTAGAGGAGGATCCGCCATGCCCTTTGAGTGTGGGCGCTTTAGCAATGAGACATTTACCTGGAGTAAGGGACAGGCTCTTGGCTGGAGTCTGGCAAACCCAGCCCTGCCTGGGCATGGGGCCCTGGGCCAGCCCCTCCCATCATGGGACCTCCATTTCTTTATTCACAACGTGCAGGACTGGGCTCGTGACCTTCCAGCTCTGTCATTCTGCCATTCTTTCAAGGACATGGGATGCAAATATGCAACCTCGGTACACGTCACTCAATCACATGTGGTAAGGCCCTGGCCACTAGGTCATGAGGCTCTGTGTCTCTCATTTTCTGGCCTTCAGGAGTCTTACATGGCAGATGTGAGTTGGGGAAACCAGCTGGTCTGACTCATCCCACTTTGGGAACTAAACTGTGGAGTTTCGCCAGCACAGGCCCATAGCCCCCTGAGGACACAGGCTTTCTGGGTGATGTTGGATGAACTGAGTTCCACCATCAGTCTCTTTGTCTGAAGGAGGAGGGTGACAGTGATTCTGGTAGTGAAAGGCAGGAGAGAAAAATCCAGAGAAGCACTGATGCACACCTTTGGTGCACAGGTATGCAGGTCCACGTTGGAGAGCGTCCATCCTTTCCCACCCAGGTGAGACCCTGTGGGCACATGTGAGTTTGAATATAAATGCTGAGAAGACAGGAGTTGTGTCTATCTCACTCACGGCTGAATTTCCAGCACCTGGCACATAGTGAGTGATCAATAAACATTTGTAGAGCAAATGAATAAATGTGTGCTCATGTGTAAAAGTTAAAGTTATCTGTTTTCTAACTTGACAATCTGTTATTTGAGCTTTCCGTCCAGGAAATACATTGAGAAAATACTTGGCATCACTAAGAACGCCCACTGTTCCTTTTTTACAAAAAAAATTATTTAAAATTTTTATCGGTGAACAACATACACAGATAAGGGTACACAGCATCTGTGTATGTCTGAATGAGTTTTCACAAAATGAACCCTATGGGAAGTGCCACCCAGATCAAGAATCAGCAGAACATTTTCTGAGCCCTTAAGTTCCCGTGTGCCCTGTTCAGTTACGATCCTCCCGGGTAACCGTTATCCCCTGTTCTAGCAACATAGGCTACTTCTGCCTGTCTTTACACTTCATGTAAATGTAATTATGCAACAGGTACTCAATTGCATCTGGCTACTTTCACTCAATATTATGTTGGTGAAAATCATCCACATTTCCCAGGGACGTTCTAGACTGTTTGTTTTCACTTTTATGTAGCAAGGTTTGGCAAATGGGTCCTGGAATGGGCCAGGTAGTAAGTACTTGACATTCTGTTGCCTGCACAATCTGTGTTGTAACTGTCATCTTTGCTGTCGTAGCACAAAAGCTGTCATAGACAATATGGAATGAACGGACATGGCTGTGTCCCCATAAAACTTTATTTACAAAGCAGGAAGTGGCTGGATATGACTATGGCCTGGATTTGCCAATACCGTGTAGGGTAGACCTCTCTGGGAACCGAGCACAATTTATCCGTTTGAGTGTTGATGGCCATTTGGGTAGTGCTCAGTTTTAGGCTATTACAAAGAATGCTGCTGTGAATGTGCTTGCACATGTGCTTTGGTGCGCATGTATTCATTTTTGTTGGGTGTATGCCTAGGCGTTGGACCTCAGGGTCATAGCATTGGTATGTGGTCAGTTATAAGAGGTACTGTCAATCAAGTGGCTGTGGCACTGCTGGCTGTTAATGAGATGAGCTGTTGTGTTTTCAGAGCATGCAATTGTTTTCTTTCTGCATGCTGTGCCTTGTACAGGCATCACTTATTTCTGTCACCAGGACCTGCCCTCAGAGGCTGCAACTTCACTGCAGGACTACAGGGAAGACAGCCACTGGCTCACTTGAAACATGGCTAATCCACGCTGCAACCAGTAATTGAGGGGCTGGGGACACGATGACACTTGCTTTTCTCATCATTTCGTCTCCCATTTCCTGTGTTGTAATAACCCACATCCCATGGCAAGCAAAGGGGGTGACTTACCTCTAAAGTGAAAGAAAAGTTGGGTCTTTACAAGGGCAGGTTGGAAATAGCACTGACCTCTGCTTCTAAACGAGGTGACCCGTTTAGTGAATCCTATGTTTTCTTAAGTGTCTCCCTTTGAACACCTCCTACTCCAGCCCCCATCAGTAGTTCAGCCCAGAAAGCCAACTGGTATGACTGGAATTTGTAAAGCCCAGCCTCCAGCATTCCTGTGTCATGGGAGTAGCAGTACGCAAGGTGATGGCTGAACAAACACACCTGAGGTCAAATCCTGCTTGCACCATCTACGATCTGTGACTTTGGACAGGTCATTTGACCTTCCTGTGATGTGACTCAACTACTTTACATACCTTATCGAATTCCCCAGTGCCAACAATGAAGCAGGCACTATTATTATCATCTCACTTGACAGATCAGGAAACAGACTTAGAAATGTTAATGACTTGCTTGAGGATGCACCTGTGTCTAAACCCTGAACTCTAACTTTAAAGACCATCTGTGGCTCGGAAGCGCTAGCTCCAGTTATGCACCAAAATGATTTCCATTTATGCCTTTAGAGCCCTGAGTTTGGTTAATCAGGAACAATCTCCTTTTCTTGGATAAATAATTCAACACTGAATGCAATCATGGAAAAAGTGAGTTCCCTCCAAATTCTTGTAATGAGACAGCCAGTGCTGAGGACAAAATGTTGAGGTCTTTTAAGGAGACGGTACTTCTTAGTAAGTGAAGATATGTAATTTTTTTTCTCTCTCTCAGCAAAGAACCTGCTGTTTCAAATTTCCAACAACTGGCTCACTGTTCAAATGCTGGCGTGGAGTGAACTTTTCATGCCATGGGTCATCTTGGAGCTGATGAATTCCACCAGTTTTGAGCATCGAGGCAGTCAGAAGTGAAACTGGAATTTTCAAATGTATTTCCATTTCCTCAGAAATGAAAGATGCAGGCTTGGAAAAATTAAAGTTGCACAGGCTATTATTAAATGTAGGAACTAAAGCACAGGTCGTCCTCAGTCAGCTTCCCACATCTTGCGTAATGATGTCTTGCCTTGTCAATAAATTTATCAAGTGTTCCAAGCACTTTAGTTGACATCACCTGATGAGTACACCCATTGTATTTACCTGTAGAAGTGGACAGGTGGATTTTTGGCTGGGTGTTCCATGAATTAACCTGGTTTAAAAACTGTCACAAAGGGCTGGGTTCAAAGTCCCACCAGAAGATTTCCCTGTACTCAAGACTTGTTCATTGAACATTGAGCATGGGAGGAGACCTTTTAGATTGATGAGGCAGTAAATCCAAGATGGCGCCTCTCATAGCCCGAAGCTGGCATTTATGCTCATGGACTACTGAGGTTGGGAGTGACAGGTCATGGAGTGACTCAGAGATCAAGTTCACAGCTTTGGAAGGTCTGGAAACCACGGAGAGTGACCTGTGGATCCTGGATTATTGGAGACCACTGGTCTGAGACCCTGAGTCCAAGTATGCAGGATTGTGCTGTGAGCGGTCCATAGCATCTCACCTTCCCAGGCAGCATGAGTACAGAGAATGATAGATTTTAAGCAGGACCACTGTGGTAAGACAGGGTAGGCAAAGCCTTGCTGACCCATCTCGTAGGTATCTGGAGGTGTGATACAGAAAGGGGCAGAGATGTCTTGCCAAAGGCAACTTGACAAAAGCATCCAAGAAACGAACTTACCTGTGGGAACAGGGAGAAGATTGCTCCCACAATCGACATTGGAAAACCAAAGCTGCTCATCCACATTCGTCCTGGGCCTGGCTGTAGACATAACCTGGAAAGCAATTCCCTGATTTTCCTGGCTCTTGGATCCACCGTCAGCCTGGGATCCAGGCCTTGGGTAATGAGCATCCCAGGCGGTGAATGAGGTTTGGAGTCGAAATCTATCTGAGGCCTCTCTCCTTGCCAATGTCTACAGCTTAATAATTGCTTCCTCACTCTCGCTGCATTCAGGTTCAAGAGAAGCACAGGCCCCGCCAGCAGCATTATGCAAATCAGGCCCACTGTGTTCCAGCAATGGCATATAGAATATGTAAATTTATGGTGGTGGCGGAGGCTGCTTAAGACAGAAGATTTCTCAATGATGAAATTAGATTTTCTGGAAAGAGGCTTCCGAGGACTTGTTTCCATTCCCCTGCCTTGTGCTCTGCTGTAGCCACCAAACCGGTACTCTGGGAAATAATTAACTGAATTACAGGCTCAAACCTATGCTAAACCAAATCAAGAAGGGAAGAAGAGATAGACCAGGTTTCAGGAGGCCACAACGAATTCATACTTTACAGGACATGTAAACAGAAATGTAGGGTGCGAGGGAGGGAGGCGGGCTGGTGGGCGGGGGGTTGGGGGGAGAACATCCATCTCTGGTCAGCAGGGGAAACTGACACAGGGCAGGGAGACTTGATGTCACCTTGGCCTTTACATGGGCAAGGGCGGGAGAGTGGACAGTCCTGTGGTCTGTGCTTCAACCCAGCATTGCTGCTTTTATCTGCTATATGTACCTGCTTCTTACTGATTTTGTTAGAAGAAAGCATTTATGTCATTAAAAAAAATAACGGGTAAATCATTCATCTAGACCAGATCAGACTTGAACATGCATTAGGCTTACCAGGAGGGCAAGTGATTGCCGCTGCTGCTGGCCAAGCGGACACAACCCAAGAACCACTGCTCTAGACTACAGTCCTTATCTGACAGATGGGGGATAATGGGGCGCAAAGAGTTCAGTGATTTGCCAAAAGTCACACAGTGGAGTCAAGGCCAGATCTAATGCTTTCCATCAGCATCCAGCATCACTGTCATCATCGTCACCAGTGTCATCATCGTCATCTTTATTATCACTCTCAGTTGCTGAGCACTTTCTATGCGCCAGACATTGTGCTAAGCACTTACGCACCTTACTTCATTTATCTTTCACCACACATGTTCACAGGAGTTGCACTCTTATCTCCATTGAAGAAGAAACTGTTCCGTTGAAGTTCTTATCCCCAATGTGATGGCATTTGGAGGCGTGTCTTTTGGGAGGTAAAGAGGTTTAGGTAAGGTCATGAGGGTATGGCCCTCATGATGGGATTAGTGTCCTTTTAAGAAGAGGAAGACACACACACACACACACATTATCTCTCCATGCACACACAAATAAGAGGTCCTGTGAACACACAACAAGAGGGTGGCCATCAGCAAACCAAGAAGAGAGCCCTCACCCAAATGCAAATTTGCTGGCACCTTGATCTTGCACTTCCCGGCCTCCAGAACCATGAGAAATAAATGTCTGTCATTGAAGCCACCCAGACCACCGTACTTTGTTGTAGCAGCTTGAACACTGACGCTCAACTTCAGATTGTTCCACCTCGTGATCCTTAGCTTTGTCGCCTGTAAAATGGGAAATTCTGACTCTTCAGAATGTTGGGAGGATTCGGTGAGATTTTACACATCATGTGCTGAGCACAGAGTCCAGCACAGAGCAGGGGCTCAGTAATTAGATCACAGTAATTAGTATTATTTTTGTAATTATTATTACTAAACAACTTGTGGGGTTTGGGAGACAGACTGGGGTTGTAGAGTGAGCTTGGGGTTCAGAATATGAGGCTCTCCAGTCCTGAGCCCTAAGCTCTCTGCTGTGATACTTGGGGGCATGTCATCACCCTCTTTAAGACTCAGTGTTTTGCAAAAAGAGTGGAGGGAACTTGGTGACCCCAGGACACACCCAGCTGCACAATCTCTGATTCCATAATACCAAGGGTGGAGTCATTTCTCATTGCCATGTTGCCCCAGGATAAGTGACATTTCTCCTCTCCTGGACTGTCACCTTGCCTCCTCCTGGCCTCCTTGCCTGTGGTCTTGGCTCAGTCACTCTTCCTTTCTAAGATTCTAAGATGGCAACCTGATATGGTGTTCTCCTGCTCAAATCCTTCTGTGGCTCTTTATTTCCCTTCCTTGGATCAAGTTTAAGAATCTCAGCTTGGCACCCAAACCCCTTCATGCTCTGGTCCCTTTCAGATCCTCATCTCTTGCCTCTCCTTTCATTCTATTTTCCAACAAAAGATGGAAGTAGCCATTTCCTGTCTCCCTACCATTGCTCTCACTGTGTTTCTGCCTGGGGCTCCATTCCTGTTCTTCCTCTCTTTGTTTGCAAACTACTTGACCTTCAGAGCTCAGCTCAGATATCGTGTGCCCTGAGAAGCCATTTCTCACCTACCTTGCCCTTATTTGCAATCCCAGTCTGCGTGAGGTACTTCCTCTGAGCTGCCTGTAGGTATCTCATTCCAGTACTTACCACTTTGTATTGTAATGGTCTACTGACTTTCTCATCATTTGCACTGGACAATGACTAGGGCCATGGAAGAGACACTAGTCTTTATCAGTTTTTTCGGACATTTTCTGTTCTGTTGTTTGTTTTATCAGCTGTCTGTAAGAGTCTTGAATGCAGGGGCCTTATGTATTTTGTTTGCCACTGTAATTGCATTTATTTCCATGCCTGGTACATGATAGATGTTCAATCTTTGAATTAATAAATCTGAAATCCCTGCCCATTTTCACAGATTTCTTATTAACCATTATATCCCTGCTGCCTACCAAAATATCTGGCATGAAAGTGTTCAGGAAATAGTTAC